TCACTGTTGCTGGTAGGTGTTGTATGGAGATGGGGGGGGAGTAAGGGAACTCAGCAAGGAGAATGCTATTTCTGTTTGGTTTCATGCTGGCTAAATGTGCTCTAGAGCAGAAAGTCCTTAATTTACCCAAACACCATGAGCAGAAGCAGAGCAAACTTCCACCTGCGTGCCTCGGCTGCAGCCTGGAGGGAATGAAAGGTTTTCTGGTCCTAGGTGTTGTTTGTGTGGTGCCAGGGACCAAAAAGGCAAGAAGCAGTATTGTCTAGCTCATGCTTTGACTCATCAATCAGAACAGCTGGTTTTAGCCCCAGTTTTGCCACATGGATGGGCATTGCTGTGCAGTGCTGGAAAGCATCTCTGCCTGTTTCCCAATGTGTGAGATGATTTCGAGCTTCCTTTGCAAAGTGCTTTGAAATACATGGGTAACAATTTAAGCATAAGAGCTAAGGTTGGCGCTGGTAGGTGTTTATACTATCCTTGACCCAACAGCATCCCTGAGGAGATTTTCAGCTCCAAGTAGTATCAAGTGCTGTAATAAGTGATAGTTGCCTCCCTTGCTGGGTTCAGGGCTGAGACCTAACAAATTCATTTCCTGTTGGGCATGAAAGTGTCTGTCAGGATCATGAGTGTGCGCATGCAGTCCAGCCTACAATAGCAATACTGCAAAGCAAACTTGTCCCTTTACGTGATCTTTCCAGTCTGGTGGCTACTGTTCTGCCCACATGGGTGGGTTTGATCACTCATTGCTATGGTCACCGTGATTTTTCTCCCACTTTTAAGTGCCAATGTAGATGCATAATTTTCATCTGAAAAATACATAGTTTCAGAAGCAAATGTTTGCACCAGTAAAAGAAAAACTCAAGTTTGCCAGGTAACTATCATCCATTGTGGTGGCACCAGGAGTGAAGAAGTCTTTGAGTCATTTTCTGGGCCTATGGCATGCATTTATTTTCTTCCCCATCTCTCCTTTTCTAATTAAAAAAAAAACAAGGAGGAGTTAAGAAAAGTAAATCCCTCTGCATTTAAACAACATGGTCTCAGAAATCCACAACAGTTAAGAATTCAATATGGAACCCGTACGTAATTCCTAGGCACGTAAAGATGACACATTGGGCCTGGCCTAGGTAGTAATTTGATAATTCCCAGTTTACTAGATACTTTTGAAAATGTTGACAAAGATTTTACAGACTAAATGTGGCCCACAAACACCTCAGATCCTGTCTTTAGATACTGGGGCTGAAACTCCTTGTCTGCATTAGTGACATCCGTGTAGACACAAAGTGCCACTGGAAATTGGTTGACAGTTCTATGACGCATGTGCACTCTACGATAGGCATGCTAGCTGGGGAAAAAAAATCTTGAGCAACAAAACACTTTCTTTTGTAAGTCAGATGGGCAGCTATGGCTCAATGCACCGAGAGAACGAGTCTGTTTTTTGAGAAGCAGCCTCTTTAACGTAGTCATTTTTCAATGTGAAGCCTCATTAATCAAGCACGGGAAAACTATTGTGCTAGAAACTTGCGAGCAAAGAGTTGTGAGTGGAGGGCGGAAATGGTGTTGCAAAAGACAGCCATTTGCTGGTGAGGCTTTGTCAGCTCTGCAGACCGATCGGGCTATCTCTCATGACTGCCATGTGTCTGCAACAGTACAGGAAGTGCCTTTGCGTGACCACTGTGCACAACCAGGAGTAGCTTTCTTGGCAGTTTTTGTCTGTGCAACCTCTCAGCCAGGCTTTGGATTCAATCTGCTTTGGCCTTTCCTTCAAATTTGGGAAAAGGAGGGAAATATGAGCAGACAGGTAAACCAGTAACACATATAACATTTCATGCATATAGGGCATGCCCATACGTCACTGTATGGCAATGTAGCTATGGCGCTGTGCTTTAATTCTTCCTTTTGGAAGTACTAAAATATGGTGCAGTAACCGCCCATGCTGCGCCATGAGCATGGTGCATGGTTAGATTTTGCCGTTATGTCACTGTAGCAGCACGCTATAATGGGGAAGTGCACTGCTATGGCAATGTAGCTGCTGATTGTGTAGACCCACGTGATCGCCACATTGCTACAGTGTGCTGTACGGCCACGTAGTGGGTCGCTACATGGCTGAGGGCAACATGTCTCCTGTAATAATTGCTTAAAATGCCCAAGGCCTGGATAATCAGAAGTGAAATTATTACCTCACTTTTGATTGCAACCTAGAGAGGCAGCAAGGCCTAAGCATTAGCACAGGCATAGTAGAAGAGTGACTTAGTGCCTGGCTTGTGAATCAAGGCATTTGGGTGCTATTCTTAGCTCTGCCACTGTCCAGTTGAATGACCCTGGGCAAGTCACTTCATCCATATGTGCCTCAGTCCCCATCTGTAAACTGGAGATAATAACAATGACTTCCTCAGTAAAGTGCTTCTCGACTGAGAACACTGTAAAAGCTGGGTGTTGTTACAATTATTTAGTCCTATTTTTCTTTTTCAATCAAAAATAAATATAATTTAAACAGGAGGCTCATTGTCCACCCATGTGTTTGGCGGTGGGGAGGTGGGGGGTGGAGTGTAACAATACAGGCGCTTAGAGAAGAAAACCACCATTTATTTCATCACATTTTTTTTACACAATCTTCATACAACAGATGCCAGCGTAACACTTAATACAATTTTAGAAAACACAAAGATTACTTGCAAAATTATATATATTTTAATATCCAAAAATACATTGCATATATATAGTAGCAAAAGGCCCATTTCCATGGGTAATTTTTTTAATAATTTTTTTTTTTGTGATTATTGCAGTAATGTTACCTATAAACACCCCCAAAGCACTATGAGAAGCTAAACCAATTATCTTGATCTTATTTTCCCCCTTTTTAAATAACGGCATCAGTGCTTCTGCTTAAAGTTATGACCGGACTATAATGTTCTGTTTTAAGGCTCTGATCCTGAAATCAAACGAACTAAATCTTATATCCACACAGAGCCTCAGAGGGAATGTCAAGACTAGATATTTGTGCGCCTCCTGATTGAACGTTAATACAAGTTAGCTAATAGTTTGAAAATGCAAGTTTAAGTCGTCTATAACCATCTGCTTCAAGACTCAGATGTCTGTGGTTTACTCTCTTGTTTATATCCCGAAGCAAACATTTGTGGAATGTCTAACCTAGCATTTGCAAATTAGAGATGGTTGAAAAATTACAAGTGCTTCAAATTTTGATGCAAACATTTGGCAAAAGTTTGCTCAATTAAGTTTGTGAAAATTGTGTGCTGATTTTCTCTTATCAAGCATTCCGAAAGTTCCAAAAAATTCTAAATTTTGGGGAAAAATTGTCATGTTTCATAGCATTCAGACAGTGTTAAGATGAAAGTATTAGCTAACTTGAGTTAACTGACAAACAGTTAACTCAATCCAAACTGGAACAATATCTGTGCTCCAGGCATACCCAGAGAGGTCTGAGGTGCTCCACAGTAGCACAGGGATCAGTCTTCATGTCTCTAGCCACAGGATCAGAGCACTGTTCCCAACAGATACATTATGCATGTCTTCTTTTTAAGATTTTTATTTTTTTTTTAGCAAAAAGTACAAAGCTACAGCCCAAATGTACAGATTGAAAAGATGTACAAATTACATTAAAAAACCCACACAAACAACTGATCTGATAGTAAAAAAAAAACCCTGCATTTGTGACCGAGGTCAACTCGTTTTATTTTATCTTTCTTTTAATACTGCGAAATATAGGGAAAAAATAACTCTGCATAATTTATACAGTAAGTTGCCTTCTGATCTGTTGACCCTTTGGATGGTGGTCTGACAAACGCACAGCGTTCGCGAATCGGTAGCATTTAGCGATTCCTAAAACTTTGGCAGAGCCCTAGGACCTGCTGTCACTGACTTTATTTCATTTTTGCTTGCAAGGAATGTCTGTGCCTGACACTAGGTTGCTTCTTCTTTTGTTCTGTCTCATATGTTTCTGGCATTAATACACAGTTCAACACAAGTTGTACATCCTAGAACAGTTCCTTCAATGCCCTTTACTTCTTAAAATATTCACGCGCACACACACACGCACACACACATATATATATGAATATATATTTTATAAAATTTCCAGTTGAGTGAAAAACCTCATTGGCCTTAAAGTTAAGATTCCAGTTGCTGTCCCCTGCAATGCCAGGTCTTTACAACATACCATTCAAATCTTCTACCCTCCCCACAAACCAGAAAACCCCCCCCACTTGGTCATAAATCTGTGATAAACATATTATTCTGCTAAGACCCACAGCTGGATCTTTGTCTTGTTAAGAGCTTTGGATTGCTAAAGATTTTTTCTCGTGTAAAAAAAAGGAAAATGCTACTAATCATTCCAGGGTGTGGTAAGCAATCTTCATAGTGAATTTCTGCAGAGGATGTAAGACTTGTAACCAAAACACAATGCAGAGTACTGGCCCAAAGATGTGTCCATCTCTCAGTTCAAGACAGAAGAGGCAAAGTTACAAAAAACAAAACAAAACAATGTATGATCCAGGAATAATCAATATCCAGTTTCATTTTTTCCCCGCAACAAAGGCCACAATGTTCATCAAAGCTCCAAAGAAAAAAAATCCCAGAAGTAAAGAGCGCATCCAACCAGATTGATACAAGGCCACTGATGGTGATAGCATCTAGTAGTAGCTGCCCAAGTGCGATGGTACATGGGTGTTAGGATGGCGTGGGACACTGGGGTTTGGGTAGATGCTTCCTGTAGGGGAGGTCCAATAAGTTGATGCTGCTCCAAAGAAAGTGGATGATGTGACAGGCATAGAGGAAGGGTGTGGGGGCGCAAAGTTCACCTTCTGTTGGTGGGCATGGTAAGAGGGCATATAGGAGATATCTGCTGGATACTTGTACATTGAAGACTCAGCTGGGTGAGGCTGAAGAGCCTGGGCAATGCCATGAAAGTCAAATTTGTAGGCATACCTTTTGCCATGCACTTTGGTCATAATGTTCTTGTCATAGTAGTATCGGAGGGCTCGGCTCAGCTTGTCGTAATTCATATTGGGCTTGCTCTTGCGTTCTCCCCAGCGCCTAGCCACCTCATCGGGATCAGTCATCTTGAATTCCCCGTTGGTCCCTTCCCACGTGATGCAGTTGGCATTGGAACTGTCTGACAGCAACTCAAGGAGAAATTGCCACAGCTGGATCTGCCCACTCCCTGCAAGAAATAAGCCAAAGAGAAAAGGAAATGACATCCCATTTCCTGATTAAAAGAAAAGACAAAGCCAGGAAACAGAGGGACTATCTTAATCTTTGCTGGGAAAGTTTCCTTGAAGCCTTACCGATTCTTGTGTGAAGCTGCATAAACTCTTCCCGACAAACAAGTTAGCTGACCCCCTGTTCTATTCGTGAGTTTGAGGTCAGGCTAGATGATCGTAATACCTTCTTCTGGTCATAAAACCTTTGAGTTATACACAAACAGGCTTTTTACAAGCAGGCTTGTTCTCCTAAATTATTCCCTAAAAGCTGACATGAGGGTATTTCAGCCCATGGGTTGCTTTTGTTAGTTCTGAATATGGTTTCAAATGCCTGAAGTTTGGAATTTGCTATATGTTCCTTTGTGATTGATTGTCTGTATCACTTGGTATTATTTTTGCTCCCTTTCACTATGCCTGCACAAACACTTAAGGTCAGGATGACCATGAGAATGTGTTTTGACGTGAGAGTTCAACCTGCTCCCCTGAAAACCTAACCCGCATTAATACCAATGTGGGCTTCTAGCACCCTTTAATGGATAGGTCACAGCATGGGGACTGAGTCTGCTATTGCTACTAAGCAAACAGGACCTGTCCTTTAGCTTAAGCAAGAGATGCTTGTGCTTTTATTTCCTGAAGGCATGGGATTGCTCTCTATAGATGACAGGGTCATCGGGCAAATATAACACATTTATGAAATGTATGAGGTATCTTCCATCTGACTAGTGCATAGGGGTGGACTAAATAACAGGTATGTTTTTTGTATTCAAGTAGGATTGAAAATCCTGGGTTCAAATATGCTAGCAGCTTGTGCTTGTGGGGAGCAAATTCAAGAAGTGGCCAGTGCCGATGAAGCTGCTTTTACTCAAGCAAAGGTTATTTTCCGCTATCTAGCTATGCTTTTAGTTCTTGATCGTCATCATTCACTCCCCACAGGCACACACTCTTCATAAGGGTGAAGCTGCTGAAGACAGACCACTCAGGATCTTTCTCATCACTCAGGGTCCAAGGCGAGGGCTACACAAAGAAGTTATCACAAGAACAGCCCTGTGGGGCCCTTGGAGCAGTTGTCCATATTAGCCTTCAGGGATGGGACAGAAAGTAGTGGGTAGGGGCAGATATGGGATGCATTCCTATCCA